TAGTAAAATTAAAAACTTTTATATGTAAGGAAAAATATGTATTTTACTAATTATAATTAGTAAAAAATTTAAGCGTTACATTATTTTTGATTACCACTGTATATTAATATAATAAAAAAATTCAAAATAAAAAGTTTAATAATAAAAAATTCAAAATAATAAAAATCTTAAAAAATAAAATAAATTAATAAATTAAAATAAATCAAAATTATTAAATAAAAAATTCAAAAGAAAACTTATATACAAGATTTTATTAGTTATAAAAAAACATTATAATTAGAACAACTTTTTCAGAAAAATTTCTAAATATATTTTATTGAATTTTTGATATCTTCTTGAACTTTCAAATTTGTTTTATACTTTAAGCTTTTAATAATTACATTTTCATAATTAAAGACTCCTTTTAGTATCACGATTTTTTAATGATTATAGTAATGCTTTGGTTGTATCATAATCCCATTATTTTTGTTTTATAATATTAGAAAGTTATAATTTTCTAAATTTTAATTAATTTAAATAGTTAATTTAGCTATTACATGCTCAATTGTTTTAAAAGTGTGTATAAAAGGATACTTTTCGCTGAACCTTAATACCCCATTAACAATATCCACGGGTATAAGTGTAAATCAAAATCTTTGGTACTATAGTCAGCACTCTACAGTAATTATATTAGGGCTTTATGACAACTTAAAATCAATTTTTAAAGACATTAATTAGACGCGACAAACATAACTATCAGAAAGTGTAAAATATCTGACCCAACGTTGCGGAGCGACTGAATTATTGTTGCTGATAGGATTGTTCGGAAGATGGTTATTATTGTCATACACTTTGAGTCTTCGAATTTGGATTTTTGAGCATGTGTAGTTCTGAATATTAAATTCAAGACTACGAAAAAATGATTTTGAAAGTTATTAATAATCATATTTGATATTTTAGAAGCCGATGTAACGGGTCGAACCATTCAGCTATAACGGCATAATTTTCGAAACAAGTTATGTATCTTTTACATAAGTAAGCGTTTTTTAAAGAATGCCGGACCATATGGTAGGAACGTTATATCAGCTTTCACCATGTATTTAAATTCTTCTTACCTAATTGGTCCAACTTCCAATTGCGACGCTACTGAGAACGGTTCATTTCCAATAACCTTTTATAATTAGTGAAAAAAGTATCAGTAAAAGTTTCTATATATTTTTACCATTATATATAAAGATCCACGATACCTTGATTCTTATAGTTCTCTCTGTTCCACCTTCAAAATTTCTTATTACCCACTTTCCTTTTTTCGTTTTTTCATCAAAAGTAAAAGATTGATCAGAGTTCGAATAGGAATTGAAATCGGGTGAACTTTTATCGAGAAATTCAGAGGAGACGCTTTTTTTGCATTTAAAATTATTAACAAATTCCGTTAATCACTAAATCAAGTGTAATTAAACTATTCTGCTTACTATTAATTATTGCTACTCACCTAAGACTCGATCTCGGCAATGGCACCCAAACAAAACACTCTTTCGCAACACGGTCTTTCGGAAAATCAGACCTCATACGAATTAGAACGTCCATTTTGTTGGTGTTCGTTTTTGATTTGTCCGATAAGGCCGGATTTTCGAGTAATGGAAATATGCGGAATGGAAGATTTATGTTATTAGATATTCGATATCTATTGAAAAAAATTTAAGTTATGAAAAAAAGATGCAACACAAAAACCAATGCGTTCTAAAGGTTTTTCTTACATCATGGCGGTGAATTCTCCGTGAGGTGGAAATATCACAAGATTTTTATTTTTTTCGAAATCTTTAGAATAAATGAACGTAATAATTTCTTCGTAAATAACTTATGATACGTTTAATTATTATTCGGATACCACTCACCCGAAGATACGACAGATTCGTGGAACAAGTAATCATCAAGCACAATAGGAGATTGCACTATATATTATTCTATTAGAATAGATAGATTAAATTTCAACTAAGATAAAAATAATTTGATTACCTAAATTATCTGAATCTCGACTATCACCAGACAAAATATTCGAGTTCAGTCCAATTCTTAACTCAGGCCTGTTACCAGTCAGGTAGCTTTTAATCTGTATTGATCCTTCGATTTCAGCACGGACTGTCATTCCCTGAAATGAATCCAATAGATATGATAAGCCAGAATGAATTCAATAATAATTTATAAGAAATTTTGAAATAATTAATTACATTTATTGCAAAAGCGGCGACCACACGTTCAGTAACGTCAATATAAACTTCATTTATCAATGTCCTAACATTCTTATTCTTGACATCGCGAAGAGAAATTACGGATCTATTGATATTATTATTGTTATTAATCGTCATTGCTGTCGTTCCCATTGACGACGACTTCGTTTGTTGGTTTATTGAAGATGCTCCGAGTATCTTTGGTTGGAGCTTGTTGTTTAGATTGTGAGAACATTTTGCCCATTATTGTTGTTTTAAAATCATCGATAGTAGTGTAAAATACCTTATTAGATATTGATTGTAAAATATTTTCTTGTTTCAAGACAGGTTCTTCATGTACGTAGTTTATCAATTGATCAGTTGAAGTAGTCTGCGGATATCCATAATCCTAATAAAACAAATCGTAATTTTTTACACACTTCCTTAATTATAAAAATTAGATTAGAGATGCTTGCATCACTCACTCACAATAACTTCATCAACTAACTCATAAATTAAATCAGAATTAACAATCAAACTTTCTTCTTTCAAAGAACCACAGAAATCTCTAATCAAAACTGCAATTTGACCAAGCAACTCGTATATCGTAAACGGGGATACATTAATTCTAGTTGTGCACACCAAATAAAGATCCGACTCGTTGATATTAATATACAGATATTGTACACCATCAAGATGAAATACTGAAGGTGGTGAAATATTATTAATAGGGTCAATTGGATTATTTTTTTCGATATGCCATTCTTTTATCCATTCATTGAATTTGTTAGGTGTATCACGTGGTGTATCATCTCTATCTCTTGTCAAAGGAAAAATAACTTAATATTTTTGAAAATCGATTTTACTCTTTGCCATTTGAATTAACAATACTTACAGTCACGAAATAGAAGAGTTTCTCCTTCTCCTTTGACAGATAAAATATAAAGTTGTGAAATCATCAAAAAATAAAATTCCGATTATCATCCATCAACCAATAAGAATACGTAAATTTTCCCCAGCAACTACAAAATTTGTGGTTTAGACGAACATGTATCCAATACATCTCTTGAACTTCATATAAAAGAATAAAATATAACTAAGCGAATGGCGGTAACTTAACCATTTTTATTGGCGTAAAAATGACAGTTTAAACAGAAAGATTATGATGTGTGGTCTTACATTTCTGTCTGCTATATAAAAGATAAAATATGTTTTATTGGTAAGCCGACAAGGCAAGGTACGATTAGCCAAATGGTTTAATACTTTATCACCAAAAGAGAAACAAAAAATTATCAAAGAGGTCACACAAATGGTTTTATCACGAAGAACAAAGATGTGTAATTTCTTGGAATATAAAGGTAAGCTTTTCTGATTTTTTTAATTAAGTGAAGAACCTCAGATTTTACTAAATTACTTACGTGATCTATCCGTTTTTCTTTTAATAGATGAAAAAGTGGTATATCGAAGGTGGGGAAGCGAACGTTTCGTTCATTTAACAAATAGAATTCTTTTTTCAATCGATAGATCATTTTTAATTTTTTGATTTTTCGGAATGACATGTTCAATTAGATATGCAAGTCTTTTCTTCGTAACTGGTATTTCATCAAATGACAATGAACTTATAACGTTGGAAATTATTCATCGATATGTCGAAATTTTAGATCGATATTTTGGAAATGTGAGTTATTTATTATCTATAATAAATGTTTTATTGATTTCTAATTATATGTTTTAATTTTACTTTTTTATCTATTATCATAGGTTTGTGAATTAGATTTAATTTTTAATTTTCAAAAAGTATATCTATTTATCTATATATCCATATATCTCTGTCTAATTTATTATCTAATATCTGAATTTCAATATTTTTATCTTTTACATGATTTTTTCTTAAGGCATATTTTGTACTTGATGAATTAATCATCGCGGGTGAAATGCAAGAGTCAAGTAAGAAATCGGTGATACGTGTTGTGAGTCAGCAAGATGCCTTGGAAGATGGGGAAAATGGGGAAAAAGGATGGACTGAAAAATAAATTACCTATAAAAGATAACGGTAATAATCATAATTTAAAGTAACAAAAAGTATAGAGAAAATAATAGTAAATTTTAATATGTATTTTTTATATTTATTCTAGATTTATATTTAAAATTAAAAAAATAAACGATTAAATTTCTTAGATAATCCATTATCATCATCTATAAAGAGGATTTTGTTTAGAGTGCGATCAGATATTTATTTTAATTTTATCAAAAAAAAAAAAAAAAAAAAAAGGTAAAGATTTTCTACAATTATCTTTGTTGGCGTCTATTGTCACTTTTTCCGTCTTTAATAACATTTTATTTATATATTGATCTCTTATAAATATACCAAATGACAACGCCATTATGAAAAATTATAACCATTAACAATGCCAACGACAATTATACCATATATTGTCTTTGACATACATGTACATACATGTCTACATGCATTTTGTAATCCTTCATATTATGAAATTCGCTTTTTTGGGACACCGGATGTCATCAATCAATTTTTGTATTCTCACAATTAAAACATAAAATCGCCAGTCGTCATATCTCTTCGTAAATATCTCATTTTTCCGTTGTTTAATAATAACCATATCATTATAGAGACTTCATTTCTTTGGTCTTTGTTTATCTAGCCTTGATAATATTTACATAATTCTAAATTCTTTTTTTTTCGACCTTTCCATATACAGTATAGTATCTGCTTCAAAACATTACATAGCAACGTCATAGCCACCAATTCATTACCATTCAATGATCAATTATAATAACAGCCAGAAGAATGCTGGCTACATAAAGATTCAGCAAAAGGATTCTTTTGAAGAAGAGGGAATATTCAGTTTTGACTCTTCACCGGCACAGTCGCCACAAACAACCAAAACTCATAAAAATTATAGTAATCTTAATAACAGTTATAGTAACAGCCGAAAAAAGCGGCCACCTCTTGTTCCTTGCACTTTTACCTCCCAGGAATCTTGCATTCTAATAGAACAAGAAGAAGAAACAACAACCCGAGATTACTTTTACGCAACACACCAGTTAATGGGTTCCTTAAACGAGAATGGAGACGCGTTGTATAGCGTTTCGGCGCCAGAAAGAAGTGCTACAGTTGAAAGTATTGCAGAGATCGAAGAAGAATTCGAGACAAATAACAAAAATAATGATGATAGTAATAAAAGCTATAATAATAATCAGGGTCAACAATACCGCTATCACCCACATCCTTCTAGTAGTACATGGTCACAAATTTCGAGAAAATTCTTGAAAGGAGGAAAAAGAAAATATTTAGATGAATATCATTTCATACCGCTTTTTAAGCCTATTATTACTTCACTCAAGGATTGGCAGGTGAGACATTGATTGTGTGGTATGTGAACTGAATTATTTAGAATGCATGTGAAACTAAGTTCAATTAGGAATATTAAAGAAATGTTCGCTTTTTCCTTATTTAGCCCACTTTGATGACCCTTACATCCGATCACAGACCCCCAATTAGCACAGAACAGTTTCTAGCGATCGTCGAATCTGTGAAAATTGCAATTGAATCTGGAAATCTTCCTCAACGTATTAGTCAAGGTTCCTCGGGATCTTATTTTTGTCGCAACAAAGAAGGAAAAAAGGTCGGTGTTTTTAAGCCAAAAAATGAAGAGCCATATGGGCATTTAAATCCTAAATGGACAAAATGGATTCATCGCAATTTATTTCCTTGTTTCTTTGGAAGAAGTTGGTAAGTTGTTCTCATCTGTGTTTTTGATTTATTTTCCGGTAATCTTAATGACTGAATTTTGAATTGATCGAGGTAGTTTAATTCCAAATCTTGGATATATATCGGAGGCAGGAGCATCTTTGCTCGATCAGCGTCTACAATTAAATATAGTTCCACCCACTAAAGTGACACATCTATCATCGCCAAGTTTTCATTACGACTATTTGGATCGTCATGCTGCGCAATCAAAAAAAAATCCAAAACCATTGCCTGAAAAAATTGGAAGTTTTCAAGTATTTCTTGAAGGATTCAAAGATGCCAATGATTTTTTAAGGGACCATCCATGGCCAGACAATAATAGTCAAAGTACCCTGCTTATGAGAACAGCGAGCCAAGAAATTGAGGACGGACAAGAGCGGCAACAACAGCATAGGCGTTTAAATACGCTGATATGTTTAAGTAATAACGGGTTAGATAATGGCGATGAATCGGAAGAATCTTATCCACTGGGAAGGCGTTTTGTTTGGACCGAAGATTTACAGTTACAATTTAGGGAGCAATTTGAAAAATTGGTTATTTTGGATTATTTAATGAGAAATACTGGTATGTTTTAATGTATTTTTATATTTACCCAATGTATTCTTTTAAAATGAACGTAATAATAAAAATCACATTGTGAAATTCTCTGATAAAGATCGTGGATTAGATAATTGGATGATTAAATATTGCGAGCAATCCGAGAGCGCCAATGTCGCAAACTCACCTCCTAAACCCGTGAATATGATGTCAACGAAAAAATCGATGGATTCAGATAGTGAAAATCCGCCTTTGAATACATCTAGTTGTGATGTCATTGACAATATAGGTACACAATTATCCACATCTCCAGAAATAAAATTAAATAACAATAATGACAACAATAATAATGGAACCAATCCACCCTTACAATTGAAAACACATTCAAATATAGCATCCACAAATGCAGACAATGAACCCTTAAATTCGGCAAAAATTCCGTCGTCGTCATGTAATCAAGAGTCACTTTCTATCCCATATCCTCATGTTCATGTGGCAGCCATTGACAACGGTTTAGCCTTTCCATTCAAGCATCCCGATTCATGGCGATCTTATCCTTATGGATGGACATATCTACCGACAAGTCTGATTCGTAAACCTTTTACTCAAAAAACAAGAGATCATTTCCTTCCTCTTCTCAGTAGTCCTCAATGGTGGAAAGAAACGGTCAACGAACTACGAGTATTATTTTCAATGGATGCTGATTTTGACGAAGGAATGTTCCAGAAACAAATCTCGGTTCTTAAAGGCCAGGGATGGAATATAATCGAAACATTAACACAAAAAGATCAAGGTCCATTAGATCTTGTTCGAAAAGAAAATGTGGTGGTGGTTTTAGATGAAGAGGAGGTTGATGATGATAATGATGAAATGGTGTCAAGTGCTATAGACGATAATAATCCTGCTGGAATTCCTACTAATGATGCGATTGGGGGAGAACCTGTTTCGGAGCTATTTCCACCACCACCAAAAATACGACGAAGTATGTCAGAAGATAGTGGTTCTATACAAAGGCCTTCGGCTGCTGCTAGCGCTGCTGGAAAGTCTTCGTTAACTACTGCATCGCAAAAATGGGCAGCGAAACTTAAAAGCAAGTTAAATTTTGATTCAAAACAGGGTGATAGTGAAAGGAGAAAGAAAAAAATTATTTATGAGCGATTAGAACCTGTTAAAGGGGCGGTCCCTCTTTTCAGTTGCTGCTAATGTAATTTTTTATTTTAATTTGTGTTCATTCACTCATCCTCGAGTCACGTATTTTTTGATTTTTGCTAAGAGCAATTTTGGTAATTATTATTTCACATAGCTGTTCGAAAAAAATAATCCAAGCACTTTTTCATTTCTTCAAATATATAGTATTAATTTTTTTCTCTAATTTTCATATACATGTATATGTGCATTTCTGGCTCTTATTAAAAAATAGATCATTAAACTTGCAGTTTAAAAAGTTCAATATTCAGTTATAATAAAATAATTTTATTTATTATAAAATTTTAATATTATTTTGATTTAGAATAATTTTAAAGATATTTTAAAATTAATTTATTAAAATTATTAAACAATTATTATTTTATTAATTAATTATAAAAATAAAATTATAATTAAAACTTTATAAAGATATAATAATAAAAGTTATATTAATATTTATATTTTGACAAAGATATCTATGAATTTTTGCATAGATTAAAGTGATAAAAATCAAGAGAACAAACTTATTCTTTTATTTTATTTTATTTTTATTATTTTATTTAATTTTAACTTAATATTTTTAATAGAATTCAAAATTAAGTGAGAAAATTTTTTATAATTAAAATTATCTTTTATTTTATTATTATTTTATTTGATTATTAATTATTTATTCATATCTTATTAAATAATTATACAGTGATGACCAAAAGTAATGACTCAGAAGCTAAATTTACTAATAAAACATAGTGAAAATTGAAATTTTCTCTCTATATTAAAATTTATAATTTTAATAAGAAAT